TTTTCCACGAAGTAAACATTTTGGTAAATTCACAGCACTAGTCGTCATATAGAGGTAAAAATGGATAACGAAATCTGTAATTTCTCAATTTTTCCTGTTTTTGGTACAAAATACACCAGGGTCAGATACATTAGCACATGTGTTTTAATCGTGAAAAAGGAAATTTTATTCTATGCAATTAATACGAAGTAATTAGTAACGAACAAAAATTTTTATCGGTTAAACAGACGACTTTAGCATTCTCTTAATCTGTCAAAAGTTTAATTAATTAATTATCTGTTACATCCTTGCGTAAACGCTACGAATTTAACCGCGCCGATCATTTGTTAAATCGTAGAGGCGAACAGTGAAAGATCGTTCGTTTAGCAACGGTTGTTATGGTGTATCACGGTACAAATTGAGCTGATGAAGATAGCTTGAGGGTTTCTCTATATTTCAATTCAAATGACCTACTCTTGATGCACGAAATATCTAGTCGTTTCGAAAACGAGTAGCAGGGATCGCAAGCATGTTCAGGAGAGAAAGTAACGAGGTTAGTAATCAAACGCCAATTTAAATAAAACGTAGAAAACAAATATTATAAAAGAAAATAAAAGAAAATAAAACATACGACGTATCGAGATATAAAATAATTAGAGTTAGACGATAACTACATTACGCGTGTTACAGAACCCGATAATGTCAAACGGAAAATACTAAAACAAAATATAAATATTCGAAATTAAAACGTAGACAATGTTTAAAATAACCTAATCGTGTATTTCTCGTAAAATTAAGTTCCAAATTTTACACGCGATAATCAACGAACGATACCGCAGATATTATGGTAGTCGCGCGGGTTACGGAGCGACGTGCAGCACCACCAACTAGGGATGGGCAATTTTTTCAAAAGAATCGATTTTTCGGATCAATCTAGATCGGAGACTTAAGAATCGATTTGTCAAAAAATCGACTGTCAAAAAATCGATCTATTAAAGATCGATCTTTTTATCTAATTTACAAAAAATTACATATTATTTAAAATAATTACACAATTTTTTATAATATCAACATATTTTATATAAATACAAAACATTATTAACTATTGTTTGTTTATTTTTAACATAAGTACATATGTGTACATGTATATATTGTATATACATATGTATTTTATATATATATTATCTATATGTATTGCATACTTTATATTGCGATTTTCTTAACTTAAACAAAAAAAGCTTTGTACGAATTATATTGTAATCGAAAAAGTAAACTTTTAAAACAGGTACGTGTTAATCTGAAAGATGCCAATCGATCATACTTAAAGAACTTAAAAATAATAATTTAGAAAGTCTATCACCTTTTAATCGATTCCGATTGTCTAACATTATGCTACCAGTACGGGAAAAAAGTCGTTCTGAGGGAACTGATGTCGCTATAGTAGACAGATATTTAAGGGCAATTTTACTTAAATTCATACTAGTAGTTTGTAGAGAAATCCAATATTGTATTGGATTTGTTTCTAAGGGCAGAATGTCCTGGTTTAAATAATTTTTTAATTGATTATGTAATCCAGAATCATCTTTTGAAATTAGATTATTAGCCTTTGCAACTATTGAGTTGTGGGTACTCCACAAATCAGTTGAGTCGACTTCACATTCTTTAGTTTCAGTATTCACTTGATTTTCGATATCCAGCATATCCACTTATTCATAGTTTGTCTCGTTTTTAAGCAATTTATCAATGTTATGAATTATAGCATGACAATTGATTTTCGAAATATAATTTACGAAATCGCGAATCAAGTAATGTTGCATTTGCATAATGCTCATTATTTTTAATATTACTAAATCTTTCATTAATTTCTTTCAAAATATAATTTTGTAAATCTTTTCCAACGTCAGATTCTGGATTTAACTGGTTTATTTTATCACGTAATAAGTAAATCATAGGAATGACTTTGCTAATAGTAGGATATTTTTCGCCAGATATTTCTGAAGTAATTGTTTCAAACAGTTTTAACATTTTCAATATTTCTTGAATAGTCGCTACTTCAACGGCCGATATCATAGGCGGAGAATTGCGTTGATTAATCAAAACTGCACTTACATGATTAATTAATTTCATAAATCTTTCAAACATATAGTAAGTAGATGACCATCGTGTTGAAACTTCCTGAATTAATTTCAAAGAAGTTCCCGAATTACTTTGACTTTTGCGAAATTCATCCGCCGCAACAACGCTATGTTTAAAGTAACTTACAATCGATTTAATTTTACTAATAAGTAATTTTAAATCCGGCAATTTGTCAAACATTTTAGCTGGAATAAGATTTATTGAATGCGAGAAACATGCTACATGCTTATTTTTGCCAAAGACAGTTTGCACTGCTTTCACTATATTTGAAGCATTATCCGTTACCACGGCTTGGATTTTACTTAATGGAATATTCCAATCCTTACAGATCGAATTTAAAACGCTTCCTAAATATATTGCAGTATGCCTTTCTTCTAATTCATGTACTCCTATTGATACGGAAGTCAATTCATTTTCTATCAAAAAGTGAGCAGTTACGCCCAAAAAACTAACCGTATTTAGGACTTCTGTCCATACATCGCAAGTTAAAGTGATTGTCGTTGCAGTTGATAATTCATTCTTTATAAGAAGCGACAGCATTTCATACTTATTGTCCATTAATTCCGTGAATTGTTTACGGGCAGGAATTTTGTAGTGTGGGGCAACAACTTTTAAAAAGTATTGAAAGCCATTCTTCTCAACCGTGTTTAATGGCATATTGTCTTTGGCAACCATAAATAAAAGAGCATTAGTTATCTCCGCTGCCTTAGCACCTCCATCTATAAATAATTTATTTATTGTTAATAATTGTTTATAAGTATATAAGTAAAAAATATTTCAAATTAGTTAATTAATTTACCTTCAAAAGTCTTAATTTTTTTTATTGCAACATCAATACATGGTTGCGAATGTTGCGATGAAATCTTTTTATTAGATAATATTTTTGAGTGATTAGTAATCTGTAAATATAACTTTTTGTTACGTTTGAAATATTAAAATTAGTTTTTGAACATGTAACTACAATAAATATCTTTTTCACTTGTGTATTACCGTTGATAAATTCATCTTTTCTGTACTTGTACTGGGAATAGAATGAATATTAGGTATAATATTTTCAGACTCTTCATTCTCTTTAATCTAGAAAAATATAAGTTTAAAGATATTAAATTTAAAATTAAAATTTAAGGGGTTACACCACCTTGACCGCCTAAAAATCAATCGGTAACTTTGGGAATTTTTTTTAGGAAAACAATAAAAGTAACAAAAAA